AGCCTTGGTTGCGTCTTGAGGAGTTACGTGTGTCACTTGAGAAGCAGCTGGAAGAGGACGCGAGGAAGGCTGGGTTGATTGCTAAGTTCAGGCTGTTCCAATCCTAGCTACAATGCTTCAATTCTGTTCTGGAGGTGGAGGCAGACTTGCAGAATAAGACGTCGGCTGCTAACGAAGAAGCTAGACTTCTGAAGGCAGTGCCAGCGCACTTGCTGTGAATGTTGTGCTTTCATGCGGTTTGTAAGGCTCATAAGAATGACCCATGCATGCCTGCAGTTATGAGGCTGAGAAGCGCAAGCTTGAGAGCCAGATATCCATCGTGCGCAAGGAGGCGCAAAGAGTGTAAACACAACACAGTGTTGAGTTTTGTTTCATTTTCAAGCATCCGGGATGAAAGGGCCCTAAACACTAAGATGTTGTTTAGGCTCCCAGGCTGATGAGCCATCATGGTTGGCAAGTTGCATGTGCCACACAGATTTCTGCCAGGCAGAGGAGAGCATCAACAAGCTGAGCAGCGATTTGAAGTCGGAGAAGGCCAACTTCATAAATTCGTAGACTCACAACGTTGGAATAGTTTCGTGGCGGTTGATGTATATGCTGGACATGGTAATCACAGCCTTGGTTGCGTCTTGAGGAGTTACGTGTGTCACTTGAGAAGCAGATGGAAGAGGACGCGGGGAAGGCTGGGTTGATTGCTATGTTTAGGCTGCTCCAATCCTAGCTACAATGCTTTTGCGGAGGTGGAGGCAGACTTGCAGAACAAGACTTCGGCTGCTGACGAAGCTAGACTTCTGAAGGCAGCGCCAGCGTGCTTGCTTTGTGAATGTTGCGCTTTCATGCGCTTTGTAAGGCTCATAAGAATGACCCATGCATGCCTGCAGTTCATGAGGCTGAGAAGCGCAAGCTTGAGAGCCAGATATCCGTCGTGCGCAAGAAGGCGCAAAGAGTGTAAACACAACACAGGGTTGAGTTTTGTTTCATTGTCAAGCATCCAGGATGAAAGAGCCCTAAACACTACAGTAAGATGTTGTTTAGGCTCCCAGGCTGATGTGCCATTGTGGTTGGCAAGTTGCATGTGCCACACAGATTTCTGCCAGGCAGAGGAGAGCATCAACAAGCTGAGCAGCGATTTGAAGTCGGAGAAGGCCAACTTCATAAATTCGTAGACTCACAACGTTGGAATAGTTTCGTGGCGGTTGATGTAAATGCTGGACATGGTAATGACAGCCTTGGTTGCGTCTTGAGGAGCTACGTGTGTCACTTGAGAAGCAGCTCGAAGAAGAGGTCAATAAGGCTTGATGATTCCCATATCCTCAGCAGGGTGGATTATGTTGGCATGTTTTTCTGGAGGTGGAGGCAATCTTGCAGAGCAGGACTTTGACCGTTGCAGAAGAAACTAAACTTCTCAAGGCCATGCCTACCAGTACTTTGTTGCACACTGTAGGTGTTGCTGTCTACTTATTCCGGGAATTTATAGGCCATAGGCTCTTTTGATAGTACTTGTCAGGCTGAGAAGCGCAAGCTTCAGAGTCAGATATCCGTTGTGCGCAAAGAGGCACCCAAAGACTTCTGGCTGACTAGTTGTCATTGTTGCAAGCATCGGTGGTGCAGAACCAGCAGCATCAGTATGTATTTTGTTTCTTGTGCTTGAGGTAGGGTTTGGTTGGGTGTCTGACCCCGATAGGCCGACGAGAGGATGAAGCTTCTGACCAATGACTTAGACGCGGAGCAGGCCGAACAGCCACACACGAACAGCTGCGCATATCGCGAAGTTGGGAAGTCGTGCTTGGTGTTGAGGCACGTCGGGCGACGCTTGAGAAGCAGTTGAAAGAAGAGGTTGAAAAGGCCTGGCGGATTGCAATACGTTTAGTCTGAATGAATATTGGCTATTGTGTGCTGGAGGTGGAAGCAGAGTCAAAGAGCAGCGCTGCAAAGGCTGAACAAGAAGCTAAATTTCTGAAGGCAGCGCTGACATCAAACACCAATTCCAAGTACATGCATATTTATGTTGACAGGGGGAAGCTACTCGCCGAATCTGTCTGAATGTGCCTCTTTGTTCTAGCTATGTAGCGTGGCTGTGCCTGTATTCTGGGTTGCGAGGCTGAAAAGCGCAAGCTTGAGGGTCAGATATCGACAATGCGCAAGGAGGAGTGATCAGAATGACCATGGCTATCTTTTTTCCCGCAGTTTCACAGCTTAGCTGATGAAGCAATTCTTCAGTGATTGTTCTGCATACATCAGGCCGATCAAGCCGTGACGAGACTGAAAGCAGACTTGGCGTCGCAGAAGGCATTGCACTCCTCTCGCAGGGGGTCGAACGTTGGAGTCTGTGTCAGAAGGTTGAGGGTCTAAGTGCAGTCACTTTAAGTCCAGCCTTCGACAGACAGAGGAATGTTTGTTGCAACTTGAAGTTGTGCCGTCAGGAAGTGCTTAATTGAATCCGTTGGCTCTCTGGCTTTTGCAGGAACATGCAGAGGAGATGAGGCAGAAACTTGAGGATGTTGGGTAGCCTGGTGTGACTTTGGGGACTCAAGAAGCTCTGGGCCATCAAAACTTCTTGTGCCCGGGAAGGTCAGAGCAACGCCCAAAGTGCTTCGTTTTTGGATCGCTCAGGGGGCTCCAGGGCATCCGGCCCTCCAGCTGACTTGGCTCGAGCAAGACAGGTCTGAAAGTATAGGTGTCAGCGAGCGGAGTCTTCAACCTAGTAAGAACCGGGTGCTTTTTCAGCTGGCTTGGAAGAAGAGCATTGCCAGGCGTAGGCGCAGCGGACAGCACCCACCCCACCCACACGATTCTGTTTTGGAGCTCAGCGGACCCAACCTGACATGGTTTTGGAGGCCTCATGTAGCAGCGTAGAAAGAAGATCGCAGTGACTTCGAAGATCGCCTCAGATCGCCCGATGGGGTTCCCATGGCGATTGTCCCGGTGACCGAGTGGCCCGAGGGCGCCTCCCTCGGTGACGCGGAGGTGGATGCGCTCCACGTGGCGCATCATGCGCAGCCGCGGCAGGTGCTCGGCTGTCACAGGCCCTTCGAAGTTCGGGGGCTGGAAAGCACGGGTTCTGGGATGGTTTTCGGAAGCACGCACACCTAAAACAGCTTTCATCCTCAAGACGAAGATCTTTGCCCAGGGGCAGTTAGTTGTTTCATAATGAGACGATTCATTGCAATGGGAGGCTCAAGAGCCATGAGAGCAATGAAGAGGGCGATCTCTTTGTCTTCCGCGTCTGGCACCAGTCGTTAGAAAGGGACTGGGAGGCGCGGCAGCGGCGCGGCTGCAAGTCCGATGAGACTTTGCGACCCAAAAGATGCTCTCAGGCAGATTTGAATGCATAGTCAGTGGGCTTTGAAAGGGAATGTAAACTTTGCTGTCCTCCCAAAGCAAAACATGGTGGCCAAAAGCATCATTTCTCCTTGATCTCTTGGAGTCCAACATCGAATTCTCAGCGGCTCATCTTCGGATTGCCCCTTGCCTTGCGGGAGGCCGAAGACTTGGAGGTTCTGTTGCAGTTGGAGGGTGTTTCTCCGCCTCTTTGGCAGATGCCAGTTTTTTCGGTGGCTGGTGGGACTGATGGGCTGCAGGAAATTGCTATGGCAGCTATGGTTTGTCTAGCACATGCCTTTGCTGGCAATTCATAGAGGGGGTTTGGTTTGGATCCTGTCAATTGTCTATGACCCGGAGTTAGGCATTTGCCAAACCCCCCAAGATGATTCAGTTGAGACAGGCCAAAGATAGCGTCTTCTTTCTTCCCTACAAGCAAGCAAGGGAAGATGAGGGACAACATCCCCGCAGGACCATTGGACGCTAGTAGGTTGGAGGCCATCGCTCTTAGGTTGGAGGCCATCGGTATTAGTGACTCAAAAGAAGATTGTTTTCTTTTTTTAAAGTTTGGTGACCCCAGGCCGGTGCCCATGCGGCGACGCTGTGCTTGGCTATATGAAGCTGTCTTGCGACTGCCGGTGGGGGCAGTGAGTTCGGGATGAAAGGGTGGCTGAAATCGCAGCGCGATGGTGCCTGAGCCAAGTCGAAGGGATGAAGGGAGAATCACGTTTGCGTGAGTCAATTCGCCAGGCTGATTGGATCCCGGACGAAGACGACGCGGCCCAAGCTCCTGTGGGAGGTGTCCCTTGCTGGCAGGACGTCGTATATAGGACGTCGGGAGCGCTTTGTGGGGCGTGCGTTGCTACAAGTGTTGTGCCGAGGTGCTGCGCCTACCCAGATATCAGGTCTTGATCCCTGAGCAGGACGCTGTGAGCAGTGTGCATGCCGTGTACGCGCAGTGAGCCAGTGTGTTTCTTTTGTGACATTTTGTGGTGAGGGGAGGCCACGTTTTTAGGCCGACAAGAGCTCCAAACCCAATCAGCACCAAGGGAAAGTTGAACTCGATCAGATCTTTCAGCCTGAAGAGAATGATAGGTCTGAAGTTAAACTCACCAACCCAATTTCCACAGGTGATTGGTTGGACTTCACCGATTTCACCTGACCTGGCGAGGATCATCCTCTCCATGATGCCTTTGGCTATGTTGGCTTCTTGCTTGCAGAGGTGGGCGCTCGACCAGATGTGGATTCTGTCAGAGATGAAATCAAAAGGGGACGGCACGCCGAGTCTCGTGCAGGTGGAGATCGACCAGTTTCAAAGCGGACATTTCCTGCACGTCGCAGATGCCTTGGGGTGTCACTGCGTGTGTGCAGGTGAGCGGATGCGAGCGGATGCGAGCGGATGCGAGCGGCGCGGTTGGTTCGACTGATCTTGGTGGAGATGTTCGTTTGCAAGCGGAATCTGCCAGGGAATCAAGGAAGAATACTTTATATACCTTACCTGTATCATTTGTTTTTGCCAGGCAGTTTAGGGCCTATCTGACATAATTACCTTGAAGCAACATTTATCATCCACTGTTCAGATGATGTGAAGTTCACACTTTTGTTCGGCTTCCTCAAGAGGTCGACGACTTGCGCGACCAAGCTACCCTGTAAATCAAGCATGTAGTTGTCAAACCATTCCATCCCAAAACTACTGGAAGATCACCAGCCAACACTCCAGATGTTGGCTTCAGCAACAGCATGCAACAACATGCAACAGCATGCAACAACATGCAACAGCATGCAACAACATGCAACAGCATGCAACAACATGCAACAACATGCAACCGCTCACACTAGAACACTGGAAGTTCCATAAGATAATAGCTTCTTGTTACTAGTAGTAAGGCACTTGTTACTAGTAGCGATGCACTTGTTACTAATAGCTTCTTGTTACTACTAGTAAGGCACTTGTTACTACTAGCGAGGCACTTGTTTCTACTAGCGTCCTTGTTACTACTAGTAAGGCACTTGTTACTACTAGCGAGGCACTTGTTACTACTTGCTCCTGGCATTTTCAGGTGGAGTCTACGGCCTTCGCTTTGCCACCTGGGCTCCGCGCGCGGTCTTCGTGAGCGTGGTTGGAGCGGGGGAGATGGAGGGATGGACGTTTGGACCCAAACGAGGGAGGTTCTTTGGAGAAGCCAAGTCTGATGGATTCGGACATCTTCCAAAGTCAACTTAGAACTTTCAAGAAGTCGACTTGGAACCTGGTTCTCAAGCAGAGCCCCACATGATTGAAGCCGCGTGAATTCACCAAGTATTTTGCTACGTTGATACTTTCAAGCGCTCTTTGCCTTCCAACTCCCACTGGGAATTCGTTCCGCGTCTCGCTGCGTCGCCAGGAGATTGGAACAACTGGGACGGCCGTGCTTGTCCGATGGCGAAGCGCTTTCGCGCGGGCAAAGATGGTGGCTTTTGTGGTCTCTGGGAGATCTTTGTGCCTGTGGCAGCAAAAACCGTCGACCATGGGATGGTGGAGGTTGAGATCTTTGAGATGGGTTCAGCGGTGGTGACCGGTGTTCCATGGCGTGAAGCAGAACGTGGGACTCGATGCTTGACTCACCTGCCAGGTGCCATTTGGCGAACTCTCTGACGTCCCCTTTGGCCAGAAGCCTCTTGGTGTGTGGGGCAGTTAGTGGTTGTTTGTCTGTCCTGATCTTCTCATTAAGAGCTTTTATATTATTATTAGCCTATATAGAGTTGAAGTGAATGGGAGCTAACGATGATTTCTTTGCAAAAAACACATCATGAAGAGTAAGAGACAGTGAGATGCTTCTGATTCCTTTCTTGACACTTCTGTGACCATAGGAACTACTTTGACGACCTCTCGCAGCACGCAAGGTATGGCTTCAAGATCCATACCTTGGCGGGGACAGATCTGGTGAAGATGGACCCCTATGCCCAAGAGATGGAAGTGCCCAGCGACTTGTACCACAGCCCTGCAGCTCGGATCAGCGCCGTTTTTTGCGCCCTGCAGTATGGCGAGTGTTTGGCCAGGCGATGGCCATTTTCTTGGCTTGGACCCTTTGAGGTTTTTGATAATGCAACGTGGACGCTACTAGGAGCAAAGGGCATCGCTACTAGGAGTGATCGGACGCTACTAGGGGCTCCTGGCCTTACTACTACGAACAAGAAGCTACTAAAGGAAACATCCGAATGTCTCATCCGAAGGCCCCGCGACACCAGGGCTGAGGTTCCAGGGCCCAGTCCTATAGTTGGTTGCAGTCTGTTTTCCCGTCCTTCCCAGTTGAAAGCAGAAAGCAGATCGGGATAGATCGGGTGTTTTTTGGCGTGATCGGGTGTCTTTTGAGTGGCTTTTGTGAGGTCTTCAATGCTTCGGTGATCAGCAGCTGTGACGACAGTTATCGCGCCAAACCCTTCGAGTGGAGCCTCTTGGTGCGGTCAACGAACGGTCAAAGGCGGTTGTACCAACCAGAGGTGCGGGGCGACGTGTTGGTCGATGGCCGCGCATTCAGCAAGATTGGGAAGTTCGATTGGAATTCAGTGCAGTCTTCTTTTCAAGAAGATTGCTTTCAAACCAAGCATTGCTGTCATCTACTTGGGTGCCTTTGAGAGCTAAACCGAGAAGGGCTGACCAGGGACTCCGCAAGTTGAGGTGACGAAGCATGGATGCAGGCAAGGGAAGAGCGCGGGCAAGTGAACACCGCCCTCCTGCAGCCGATGGCGATTTACGAGGTGAGATGAGAGAACAGCTTTTCTGACTTTCTTTAAAGCGCCATTAGGTTCGAGGCCACTTCTGGTTGGAGGCCATTGCTATTAGCTTGGAGGCTATCGCTATTAGATTGG